TAAGAATAAAAAAAAATAAAATAAAAATAAAAAAAAAAAGAAGAAAAATAAAACATATGCCTCTGGCAACAGTGATCAAGAAAAAATGAAGAAGGGACAAATAAACAAAATACGTAAGAAAAAAAGGGTAAACCTTTCAGATACATCAGAGAATATCAGAATGATAAAAGAATATTATAAACTCCTATTCACTAACAAGTAAGTATACAACAGGTATAAGTAGAAATGGAAAATGTGAATAGGCCCTAACACTGAATAAATGGAAATAATAATCAAATATCACTGTCCAAATGAGCCCAGAGTATAAATACTTTTACAGGTGGATATATATAACTTTCAACAGACAGATATTTAATATAAGGAGTTCCAGAAATTAAAAAATAGAAAATTTATCAATTCATTTTGTCGGGTCTCAAATGATTCCAAAGCAAAAAAAGAATAAAAAATAATAGGTCTGTTTTACTTATCAACATAGATATAACAATTTTAAATAAAGTATTATTTAAACAAACCGAATCATATATAAAATATACCATAACTAACTATGGTTTTTCTCATCCATGCCATCAGTTTAACATAAAAAAACTACCATTTTATTTTACTACACTAAAAATACTGAGTAGAAAAATTACAGAATCATAGATGCAGAAAAATACATTTAATAAAGTTTAATATTAAAGACTTAGAAACTAGATGAAAACTATATACTGAAAATCTACAGCAAGTATAATGGAAAAATTTATATGGAAACCATCACAAGTCTATTTTTAGATTAGAAAAGATTAGAAAAGTACAAGAATACTCACTATCACCACCATCGTTTAACACAGTTTTGAGATCCAAGTTGATGATAAGAAAATTTAAAAAGCCTAAGATGTGTAAGGTTTAGAAGTGAAGAGCTATAACTCTCCATATTTACACATATTTCTATGTAGAAAGCCTAACAAAATCAACAAATTATTAGAATAAGAAAAGTTGTTGGATTAAAAACTAAACTTTAAAAAATTAACAGCATTCCTCTAAATCAACAATAACCAACTAGAAAATATAAGAGAAAATAGTGCCCCTTACAATCACAAATAAATACATACCCATATGTATCCATACAAACATATCCATAGAGATGTGTGGATAGACATATGTGGATATGTATATGTTTGTAATTATAAATGATATAATCTTGTATGTATGTATATATTTGGATATATGTGTGTATAGTATCTATAGAAGAAAATTTAAATAAATGGAAAGATATTCCATTTTTTGATGCCAGATTTGATGCCAGATTTTCTCCAATTAATCTATGGAATCCACACAAACTCCATCAAAATTCCTATGTGAGTATAAAGATCCATACATCAGTAGCTAAATCAATTTGTGAAGAAAAGAATAAAGAAAGAGTAAAGGTCAGAGTGGTGGGTGGGTGAGGAAGAGTTACCATACAAGATATTAACATACACAATATCAAAGTAATAAAATCAATATGGTACCAGTATGAGAACAGACAAAACTGTGGAATAAGAAAAAAAGTAAAAAATAGACTCATGTAATATCAAAACATGAGATACGATAAAGGTGCTACCACAAATCAACAGAGAAGGGACCTCTTATTTATATTGATATTAGGAAAACTATTATATGGAAAAAAAATAACATTGAACAACTGTCTGCCTTGCACCACACATAAAAATAGACGTGATGGTTTAAAGAAACATATGTAAAAGGTGAAGCTATAAATATTAGCGTAAAATTTAGGTGAATATTTTTATAAATTAGGAATGTAAAAACACTTATAAAATATGACTCTCCCCAAGGCAAGAAAATAGTTAGATTTCAGTACAATAAAATTTAGGATTTAATTTCATAAAAGATGCTGTGGAGAAATTAAAGAAAGATGAGAGACTAGGAGATAATTGTATCATGTAAACAATATTACATTAATATTTATAATTTAGACAGTAATCAACAAAACCACCAAGAAAAATATAGGAAATGTAATAGAAAATGGACAAAGAAAATCAATAAGCATCTTGAAGCAGAAGCCTAAATACCTAAAAAAAATTTGAAGAGATGCTTAAACACACTGAATTAGGAAATCACATATTAAAACATCAGTGAGCTACCATTCTATACCCATTGGAGTAGTCAAAGTCCGAAAGTTAGATAATTCCAAGTGTTAGTGAGGCTGAAGGAGGTAGGAACTCTCATGCAGTGAAGGTGTGAGAATAACTCAGAAGTACTAGCAGTACTTGGTGAATTTATGTATGCCTGTGCCTTATGAACCAAAACAAGATTTATAGCACAACACCTCCAGCATGTCCACAAAAATATTAGCATTTTACAAAGGACAATCCATTCAGATCATATAGCTATCATATTCATGTGGGTACCTATGGTAAGAGGAAGTGAATAATGGAATGAAAAAACAGCAAAATAAAACAAGAATGAAAACTTGTCCCAGCCTATGAGGATAATGTGCTACCAACTGAGAATCATAGTTATCTTAACTCTTCTTCTAAGTTCCAATAATATATGAAGAAAAGAGAAAAAGATGCAAATTTTGTTCACTAGGAATGTTTATGATTGTTTACTAGACATGAAGAATACTGGAATTCAGTGAACACATTTGTAGGACACCTAAGTTTGAATTGGAGCTCTGCAGTTGCCTAGTTTGAGAAAGCCCTTCATCATTTGTCTCTCATGATAGCCTTGTAAAAGGAGTTGAACATTTATTATTATGCCTATTTTTGATTTAAGGAAATGAAGCTCAGATCAAGTGACCTGTTTAATGCCCTGTAGATATTAATTGGTGAGGCTTCTGATAGCTTTACACTCTGCTGTCTTATAGCTTGAGCCATATAAAATGACTGCTAGGCAAGCACTCTACCTATCGAAATGACCATTTCATACAGTTTACACTAAAATATAAATGTCTCTTGTGTTAAACAATGAGAGGTTCACATAATTTAACTGCAAAAAATAAGGAAGGGAAATATAGGGAGAGAAATGTCAAAAGATGAATATTCATATTCCTGAACAATAAAATTTTGTAAAATTCAACAATGCCTAATGTAAAACTCTTATTAAATGATATATGAAAACACTGAATTCTTAGATAATGTAGGCTCCAAGTGGCTTTCTGAGAAAAGGGTACCTTAATTAAGGATCAGAAAGGAACCCAAATAAAGAAAATGATTCTTGTACCTTAGGAGAACCATATATCCAGGTATGGCAGATAAAGAATAAATGAAACTGCCAATTGCTGACAAGATTAAAAAGTACTGGAGCATCATGGAACAGTCATATCCTTTGTCACACAGCCCAAGAACTGCAGATGAATTTCCTGATGTTTGAATGCAGCTACAATTTTGGAACACCTGTGTGAAAATAATATATTATCCTATTTAAGAAAGTAAAATTTTGAACACAAATCACAAATATTTTCTACATAGCCAACTGGATCAAGATGGAGACTATTTATTCCCTTTACTCTCATCTCTATTATGATGCCTCTCAGGATTATAGCATAAAACAAAACATGGAAGGATGATTTTAGTAAAAAGGCATTTCTTTCTAAATATGTGGGGTAAATTTGCAATAGCTCAGCTATTCTAAAGTCATGTCTTTTAAAAACATATACTGTTTTGTTACAACAGGAAGTATGACAAAATTTGTTTCAGAATACTCAGTGGAAATATTTAAATACTTATGAATAAAGCTTTGTTTCAAAAAATATAGTTCATTTCAAAAACAGAGTAAAGTCAATCCTTTAAAAATTCTTGTATGTTTTCATACAAGAATTTCATACAGGTTTTCATAAGAATCAAAATTTATATTTTACTTTATTACCAACCAACATTTTAAATATTATAACATTTTTTTAGGCACACACACACACAAAAAGCCTAATTCCATTTTCTTAAAAAGCTGTCAGAATGTGAAAAATACAGAAAAGGAAAAAAAATGGCAAAGCAATTAGCTGGATAATTGAGATCAAAACCACCAACTTCATCTCAATGATAAAAATATTTCAGTCCAGAGTATTTTTTAAATGAATTATCTGCAAATGGCAAGATTTCATTCCTTTTGGTGTCTGCATAATATTCCATTGTATATATATGCCACATCTTCTTTATCCATTCATCTGTCGATGGACACCTGGCTCTTTCCATAGTTTGGCTATTGTGGACATTGCTGCTATAAACATCGGGGTGCACGTACCCCTTCAGATCACTACATTTGTAACTTTGGGGTAAATACCCAGTAGTGCAATTGCTGGGTTGTATGGTAGCTCTATTTTCAACTTTTTGAGGAACCTCCATACTGTTTTCCAGAGTGGCTGCACCAGCTTGCATTCCCACCAACAGTGTAGGAGGGTTATAAGTCAATCAGAGAAAGACAAGTATCATATGACCTCACTGATATGAGGAATTCTTAATCTCGGCAAACAAACTGAGGATTGCTGGAGTGGTGGGGGGTGGGAGGCATGGGGTGGCTGGGTGATAGACATTGGGGAGGGTATGTGCTATGGTGAGCGCTGTGAATTGTGTGAGACTGTTGAATCACAGACCCGTACCTCTGAAACAAATAATACATTATATGTTAAAAAAAAAAAAAAAAAAACGTACCTCTGAAACAAATAATACATTATATGTTAAAAAAAAAAAAAAAAGAAGATAGTAGGAAGGGAACAATGAAGGGGGGGGAAATTGGAGGGCAGATGAACCATGAGAGACTGTGGACTCTGAGAAACAAACTGAGGGTTCTAGAGGTGAGGGGGTGGGGGGATGGGTTAGCCTGGTGATGGGTATCAAAGAGGGCGTGTACTGAATGGAGTACTGGGTGTTATACGCAAACAATGAATCATGGAACACTACATCAAAAACTAATGATGCAATGTATGGTGATTAACATAACATAATAAAATTTTAAAAATGCAAAAAAAAAAAAGAATTATCTGAGTAATGATGTCACTGCTATGAAATTAAAGATCAGTGATCAGTGTCCACTATACTCAAATAAAAAAATTAAAGAAAATGATTAGTGGTCAGACACTGTGGAGGTTTAAAATAAGATTTATGAAATAAAAGGCAAATCAAATGAACATACAGAAAGACTTTAATTTTACTTTTATCAAATGTGGAGCCAGTTCATGTTGGAAAGCTCCAATGGAATGCATAAAACCAAAGTTCTGTAAAAAGACCAATAGAATGTATTACCATATTTATCCCTGTTCCAACAGATGTCTCACAGCCAGCAAGACAAGCTGACATATATGACACACCATTGTTTCCACACACAGGGTCCCATGTTTTAGTTGGACAGTTGCAATCCCTGTTACAATCAGCAAGGATGGTATTTCCCACATATAAATCTTGTTGCATTCTGAAATGATTTAAAATAATGCATGGATATTGAAAGACTATTAGAGCATTTTCTTTTTCTTCTTTTCATCTTAATCCAAAATTATATTTCCTCTCCTCCCCAAAGTAGAAACAGAAATCTTCCCAACATCGATGTGTGACCTCAGTACTGAGCTCTGGCATAAAAAAAAATACCTGTTTTGGTGACACATAGCCACTTTTCAATGATTTACTTCAGGTAAACAAATAGCTAATTAACAGACATTAACTGAGTGCCTTCCATATAGAGGGTGTTTTTTTCAGGTATTATTAGAACTCAAAAATGAAGATGACCTAATCCCTATGGTTAATCCATATGGTAGTAAGTAACAAGAGATCTTGTTTCAAAGCAACCTTGAAGATCAAAATCTGTAAGTTCAATTTGTAATGCAGATAGTACATTTAACTTTAGAAATCTAACTGCTTGAGTAAACAAATACGTTCTCCTAGTATAAAGAATGTCCAGTGGTCATCAAAATGGCAACATAGGTGTTCTTGACCAGTCTCCCTCCCAAGAAGACCAATTAGCAGCTATCCATAGATACGATACCATTGTGAAAATCCCAGTACCTGAGGGTGAGGCTAAAGCACCCCCTTGGAACATGAAGACCTAGAAAGACCACAATGGAAGGGTACAAGGAGTAGTTACACTCTAATCAAATTGCCCCACCCCCAGGTCAGCATAACACCACACTGAGAGGGCCCTCCTGGGCCTACAATTTTGCCAGTGGGAAAAGAGAGCCCAAGGTTGACATCAAGCTCCCTCAGCATTGTGGGTTGCTTCCAAGGAGGTCCATTCAGGTCTCACCTCGTGAGGATCACTGGGAGAATCTGCAGGCCTCACTCATTAAGAATTAGATAGAGAAGGAGAAGGGGGGCAGGGATTACAGCAACCAGCACTCAGATCTTGGTGGACTGTGTTCTTACTTGCAGCATTGTCCAAGTACAGATCCCAGCCTGTGGTTCTGCTCATCTACAGAGCTGAATGGTGACTTCTTTTTGCCAAGGAGCTCAGTTGGCACTTCTGCTTGATTTGGTACCTAGTCAACAGGCCATACTGGCTGTGGAGACAGTTCAACTGCCCCATCTGCGCAAGGAAGCAAATTCACAGTCCTGCCTAACTACTGAGCATAGCTTCCAGTCCCACCCATCCAGAAAGCCTGGCCTGAGAACCTAAGCCACAGAGTCCATCCTATAGCCCTGCTCAGTCTGGGAGCCAAGCTAATAGCCCTGCCCTACTGTTAAGCATAACCTCTGGCCCCACATAAACAAGGAGCCTGAACAGCAACCCTGGTAGCCTCAGAGCCCAGACTATAGCACCACCCAGCAGCTGAGCCCAGCCTTTGGCCCTACCCAATTGCTGAACATAGCCTGAAGCCTTGCTCAGGCAGGGAACCTAGTCAGTGACTCTGCCCAATCATGGAGCAGAGCTTGCAGCCTCACCTGATGAGAGAATGTGGACAGCGATTCTGCCCAACCAGAGGATGGTTTCTAGCACCACCCAGCTCTGGGATACAACTAGAGGCCTCTCTCCTCCAGAGAGCGTGGCCAGCAACCTTGCCCAAGAGTAGAGCACGGTCAGCACCTTGTGAAGCTCAGCCTCAACAAAACATTAGCAGAGAAATTAAGAAAACAATCCAATAATTACATCAAAAGAATAAATACTTAAGGAATAAATTTAACCAAGGATGTGAGACTCTGTACACTGAAAACTTTAAGACATTGATGAAAGCAACTGAGGAAGACACCAATAAATAGAAAGATATTCCATGCTCATGGATTGGAAGAATTAATATTGCTAAAACGTCCAGACTACCCAAAACAATCTGCAGATTTAGTGCAATCCCTAAACAGATTCCAGTGGCATTTTTCATAAACATAGAAAAACAATTCTAAAATTTTTATGGATCCACAAAAAGGTAGCCAAAGCAATCTTGAGAAAGAAGAACAAAACTGGAGGTATCACACTTCCTGATTTCAAACTATTTTACAAAGCTATAGTAATCAAAACAGCATGGTACTAGCATAAAAAAGAGTCACAAAGATTATGGAACAGAATAGAGAACCCAGAAATAAACCATGCATATGTAGTTAATTATCACAAGCAAACCAAGAATTTACTGTGGAGAAAGGATACTCTCTTCATAAATGATGTCGGGAAACTGGACAGCCACATGCAAAAGAGTGAAACTAGACCCCTATCTTATACAATACACAAAAAATAAACTCAAACAGATTAAAGCCTTAAATTTAAGACCTAGAAGAAAATATAGTGGGTAAACTCCTTGACATCAGTCTTGGCAATGATTTTTTGGATTGGACACCAAAAAGCACAGGTAACAAAAGCAAAAATAAACAAGTGGAACTACATCAACTAAAAAGCTTCCAGACAGCAAGGGAAATCAGGATCAAAATGAAAAGACACCCTATGGAATGGGAGTAAATATTTGCAAATCATACATCTGATAAAGGATTAATATCCAAAATATATTTAAAAAACTAATAAAACTCAATAGCAAAAAAGCAAACAATCTGATTTTAAAATGGACAGAGGATCGCTTCTTAGCCTTTTTGCTAAGACCAAGTGTTAAAATGGGCGGAGGAACTAAATAGAAAATTTTCCCAAGAAGATATACAAATGGCCAATAAGTAAATGAAAGGATGTTCAATATCACCAATCATCAGAGAAATAAAAATCAAAGCCACAAGATACCATCTCACATCTGTTAGGATGTGTATTATCAAAAGTCAAGAGAAAACATTACTATGCATAACTTTCCTATAAATTCAGATAACCCTCAAATACAAACCCAAAACTATTCAATGATAGAGACTTAATTAGACAAATGAAATGTATGAATTCACATATGAATTAATATATCATGTATTAGGATTCAGTTATGCTGGATGTAAGCCCATTGTGGAAACATATGAAGGTGATTGAGACTATATAGTTAATTCTTAATTTTACCCATTTATGAGAGTATAAAATATATGGATCACATATCCTAATACAACCTAAAACTATTGGTAGTTTCTTTGATATCAACTTTAATATCTACTAGGATATCAAAAAGACACACATACACACCCACACACACACGTGCAGTCATAACTCACTAACCCTATAATATGTTCCCAGGCTCTTTAATAAGCCTAGAGCCTGGAGGGATAGGCTTACAATTGACAGATGGAAGAAAGATAAAGACCATGGATTATTGTTATTAATTCCGATTAGCTAATGATCTGGTCATGGGTAATCATTGAATAAAATATATTATTAACTGTTCTAAAAGTATGACATTCATTAGAAAACAACATACCCTTTATAAGTGGTAGTTATGCCAGCAACTGAAGAATTATCACAGATCATGAGAAAACACAAAAAATGGAGAAGATATTCAATTAAAGATAACCAACATCCTATGTGGGCAGCTTGTTTGACAGTAATCTTGAACTTCTTCATAATTAAACCACCAGCTATATATCCAAGGCATATTGGAGGTAAGTTATAAATGCCTATAAATGTAAGTGAAATGTTGTTTACAAAGTGACTTAGCAAAAGAACAAATAAGATACCACTTTTTATCTAATATGTCTTGCATAAGAAATCATTTAAGTCCAACTCAAAGTGAAGAAAGCTGATTGAATTTTATCTCCATTTAGTTACATATTATGTACAGAGAGATTTTTAAATGACCCAGAATGTCAAAGTATATTTTGAAGACTGTTATCACTATCCTTCATTTAATTAATTATAGTAGGTTGTAAATTTCTTGTATGCAGGGATCATGATCTACATTTCTTTCTAATGGTTCAGGTAGGACTGACAAGTCAAAGTTGACCAGTAGTTTGTGAGTAATATGATTTTGCAGTTGTTTATACCCTCTCTAGTCGATAAGAATTTGACTTAGCTCAAGGTACTTTGGAGGCTTACTTTGCTGAACCTGTGATTGTCAAGTATATTTATGCTTCGTGTCCCTCTCCCTAAAAAAAAAAGGGAAAAAAATCAAGGATAAGGACAAGACAGCCCTTGGTTGCATTCTTACAATGCCAGGGTAAGTGAATCCCATCACATTTTCTTGGGAGAGTGGTTAAAAGTCCATTCCAGAATCCCACACCAGATTGTCTAATTTAGTATGTCTTCGGTGGGCACCAGGTATCTGAAATTTTACAAGCATTCTAGGTGATGTGGATGCAGGTAGTCTGGGAAATTCACTTTTCAAAACAGTAAAAAGCTCTCAGGAGAAACCCAAAGTGGAAGAGAGCCACTGAAGTTAATGGGGTCACGGAAAAATCAGAATGCGTGGGCTGCAAAGACATCTCAAACCACCAGGGGGCCCAGGGAACTAAGGAGAGACATGGAATTCATATCCTGGAGTTACAAGAGTGAAACTCAGACTCCTAATGAATTAACATTGTTTTCCTTTTTACATTAATGGTTTGCCTCTCTGAAAATTATCTCTAATCTGTACATTCCCCAAGATTTCCAAAAATATTTTGAATTTGTATTCTGACCGGCAAGAGAGCAGAGAAGAAAGCCAGGATTTCCTGGCTTCTGTCCTTCCCTACCGTTTGTGGATTTCCCTGGAGAACGAAAGGGGGAAATGTACCAGGGACAGAAACATCTCCACATATTTCAATTTAGGAGTTTCCTAGACCCATCATCACACTGTTTACCCTTTCATGGTTAAAAAAAAAAAAAAAAAGTGAGCTACTAACATAGAGAAGAATAAACATACCGATTAGAAAGATTGCATCTGAAGCTGATTTTCCATATTGCTGTTCCAGATATTTAGGCATGAAGGTGAACATATTAACAAATGCATTGAACTGTACAATGCTTATTAGTATGAAAAGCATGTAAACTGGGTTGCATAAAAGACTTTTCATGAACGGTAAAAAATCTGAAATGAAAGAATGACAATAGTGTTAAACTAGCTTGGCTTTGCATTTTAAGATAGACTTTTTCTAAAACATGAACCTCCCCTCCCAAATTAAGATTTTTGCTTATAGTGCACATACTGGGTTTTGTTTTGCTTTATTTTGTTTTGTTACCTCTTGAAAGCTAAAGTTATATCATTTTGGTACCCTCTGCAAGTCAGTAATGCAGCTGACTGGGCAGGGAGCCGAACATAACAGTTTTACCATCACTAAGTTGTTATTGTGTCTTAAGGAAAAACTATAACATGACCAAAATATTGTCTGCATTCACACCAGTTCCTTTTTTTCCCTTCTATTAATAGCCTCTCTTTTCTAGAGATCATCTAGACTGAAAGATGCTTGTTCTGTTTTTAAAGTTTAGAAGGAGATCAACTTGATAAAGTTCACACTCAAATATTGATATTATTGTTCCTGAGCATTTAAAATATGTGGAAATTCATGGGATATAATTTTCTCAAGTACTGGGTATTTTTCTACTTCCTCAGAACAAGTTTGGTCCTGTCAGAGGTTCACACTGGATACACAATGAAACCACCTGGAGATCTTTTAAAATACAAACCCCCAGGTTCCACTCTCTGACATCTTGATTCATTTGGTACATACTAAGGGTTATGTAAATGATATAACCCAAACTTTCCCCTGTTGGTGTGGACTGACACAGCTTAGGACCAAATTTGTGGCCCATCTCTTGGAAATGTTCCAAGGTCACCCTGCCACCATTTTGGAGTCAAAGTCTCACTTATAATTAGTTTTCACTTTTCCTATCTTCACATTCTTTGTCTTGATTTCCTTACTTATTGTGTATTTTTTGTTCAATAAGCTGCCTGAAATCCAAAGAATCAATAAATAAACAAACTGAGAGAGAGAGAAGGTAGCATAGCTTAATGCAAAGAAATCTATTTTGGCTGTAGAATTCATATTTATGAATAAAGTACATGGCAGGTGAGAAAGTTGTGTTCAGAGCACTTTGGAGCTTCTTAAGTTGTCCATATTTGTTGACATCTCTGTCCTAATAGATGAGTCTCAGTAGTTCAAATCTCTTTTCTGTATGTCTCATACTAAGCTCCACTTGTTTTCTATATGTCTCATACTAAGCTCAGTTCTTTCCCCAACTGATCTTTGCAGATCACAAACAATATTCTGTGTTAAAATCTTCTATCAGTCCATATCAGCCTTTCCAAAGGAATTGTTAATATAATCATGACCACTCTGGAATTTGAAAGGTTCTGAATTGGCTTCTAATGAACTGAGAAGTATTATGTTTAATAGTAGTTTAAGTGAATGTGTAACTGTTAATAAAAATTCTGTGCAAACAGGTCTTATAATTTATGGGTGTTGGTAGAAGTAGCAACATCAACAATAATAACACTAATACTAATAGCAGTAATAATAGTAATATGTGCCAGACCTCCTTTTACCCTCACACAACAACTCTGTAATAGTGAGTACTGTTATTACCCCATTTTACAGATAAGGAGACTGAGCCCCTCTTTACCTTGTAAATGAACAATCTCTAAGAATTCCAAGGCCCAGGCCATACCTCGTACTAATTAAATCAGACCTCCTGGGAATACTACAGTATTTCTGGGCATCAGTAATTTTTTAAAATTTCCCAGGTAATTCCAACATATGGACAAGTTTGAGAATCAGTGTTCTTGAACATTAAACACTTAGACTACTTTAGCTTAGTTTCCCATAGAAACACTTTCTGTAAATTATTCTTTGAACTTTTATTGAAGATGTATCCAAAAAGGAAAAAAAAAAATTCCTGTTCTATAAAATATGCATTTGTACTTGCTGGAAAACTACTACGTGGTTCAATATTGCCTGCATTTTACATCATATGATGGGTTTTTCTTTTTTTACAATGTGTTACTTGGAGAACACTTTCTCTTTAAGAATTCTTCTTCTTCAGGCGCCTGGGTGGCTCAGTTGGTTAAGCGACTGCCTTCGGCTCAGGTCATGATCCTGGAGTCCCTGGATGGAGTCCCGCATCGGGCCCCCTGCTCAGCGGGGAGTCTGCTTCTCCCTCTGACCCTCCCCCCTCTCATGTGCTCTCTCTCATTCTCTCTCTCTCAAATAAATAAATAAAATCTTTAAAAAAAAAAGAATTCTTCTTCTTCTCTCTATCAAATATAGAGAGTTATGGGACTTATCGTGTTTTCTTTCCCCGCCTTAACTTGCAGGAAGCTCACAGTCAAGCTAACATTTTTTTATTTCAGAACTATATATTTATTTGCAATAGTGTATATTTTTTCCTCCTTTTGTTCTCAGTTCTCAGAATTTCTTTTATTTTTAATTAGACCTATGTTCTCTATAAAAAAGATTTTTTAAAAGCAAATGGGAATTTATTTAGTGTCTGAATTGAAATAAAATTTTATATACATACTGATTACAGATAGTTTGGCTTCCAAATTATATTACTTATTCCCAAGTAGTAGCACAGGAAGACTCAGACTTGTTAGACATTATTGACTACTGACTGTTAATGACAAATTGTCTTAATGCACCCTAGCGTGATATAGTGTTAGAATGAAATAGAGACACATCTCTAAAAAACAAAAAGTAAATTATGTAGTATTTAGAATTCTTATATTTGCCTTTAGTGATTCCATCCTTTTCCTTCTTGACCTCTTCTCTTTGTTTCTCTTTTTTGTCATTTTTAATGACGTCTGCATTATTCTTTAGTCCTTCCTTTGGAAGCGTTTTGGGCAAAAAGAAAAAAGGAATGGCAGTGAGCACATTCACTCCTGCACAAATCAAAAAGCCAAACCACCATGCACCAACCCAACGAGTATCAGTGGGAGTTATGGTCAGATCATCTGTAAAGAAATATACACATTTTATTAGCTGGTCACGATTTCCTGAATGAACTATAGAAAGTTATTAATATTACTATTATATTATTAATAAAACCAGTTCTCAGGTTTTATCCAAGTACAGACCTTGTAAACAATTTAGACATTCATAAAATTTGTCTGACAACATGTGGTATTACAATACTGCCTAGCAATAAATTATTTTGGTTCTCTGTCCTCTGCTGTAGGGAATTTATAAACAGATATTTATGAACTAATTCCAAGCTCTATTTAACTACATATAAATGATTATTTGATTAAAAGAAATTCAGACCTATGTTGTCTTTATATCTCTTGAGAAAAGGAAACATGGTTGTGACACAATAGAAAGAGCACTGGCTTTTGTGTCAGAAGGTCAGCATTTTAACTTGTTTTCTTGCTCACTGGTTTGAAATATTCGAAAAATTATTTAAACTCCTTTACTCCAGTTTGCACACCTGAAAAGTAGAATTAGTCAACTCACCGAGTTGACCCACTAAAGCAAGAACTACCTGTGATAACATAACTGAAGGTGATTTGTATATTCTAGACCTATAAATAAATTTTATTGAATTACCTGTGTTCACAGATCCAGTGTCAACATAAACATTTGCACAGAATGATGCTAACAAAAGTCCAATCAAAGGACCAATGATAGCTCCTGTTTCTACAAACCCTAAAAATAAATGAAAATATAAAGTTATAGTATAGTTATATACCCACATAAAGAGTCCTAATTCCATAAAGAGTCTGAAGACTGCATTGTTTTTGCCTCAGATATGTTTGCCTTAAACTTTCAATTTGTGAGAAAATTAAGCTTTATGTACATATAAGTAACCAGTTTATTTCTGTTAATGTGGAGAAAAAGAACCTCAAGATTTAAAACCACTTTCTCTAGGCCTCCAAATTCTCTTGCGTGATAAATCGCAGGTAAATCTGCTGTAGGAGCATAGGCTGGGATCACACTGTTGACAAAACCACAACACAGAGTGAGATTCTTTTGCTGCTTTCCGTACGCACATTTTCGGAGGCATTCTAGACCAGCACCACATTACAATAAATTTCTCATGGCATGTTTCTCAGAAAGCTTTCACTCCCACATTTCTGATTTGAAACCTCTTCTGGCTATGTCCTCACCATTACTGCTACTTCTCTTCTTTCATCATGATCTCCTTTCTTATCCTTCAATTCTTGTCTTCCATTCTCATCAGTCCCCTCTGCCCTCAAGACCTCTTACTCATCTGGAATTTCATCATCAGTGAGCTCATGGCTTATCTACAATTCAGAATCGAGGCTGAGCCTTCCCGGCTGCTGGAAACCCAGACAGCTTCTCCAGCTTCTTCAACTTGTTCCTCCTTACTTCAAAATATGTCTTCTGCCTTCTCCACGGATCCGTAGGCTAACCCTCTCCTGGACACAGACCTGACTTCTTGACCGCAACCCCTTCTATCTTCTCTGAGGTCTTGCTCAATTAAACATGCCCTTTTTTGTGTTGGTTCAGTCTCCCTGATTCACTGATTACAGTATCTCACATCCACCCTGCTTTCTTTCCTTTCACTAGACTCTGCATTTACACCCTCACCACTTCCTGAATCTACTCAAATCCTTCCACATTCTTCTCAAAATACTTGCAGGTAGCACCAGTGTTCTTTTTGCCACTTATTTGGTGTCCTTTTCTGGTCTCCATTCTCCTAACTCTTTATGTTATTTGACATTGCAGGCTAGCTCCTCTTTTGAATTTTCCTCCTAATACTTTCACAAAACTATGCACTTATTGTTTACTCTTTCCCTTGTGACTACTCCTTTGATTTTCTTCTTCCTGTTCTGCTCAATAACTAAAAGTGTTCCCTAGTGTTTTAACCTAGGATTTCTCACTATATATGGCTTCCCAGGACAAAACTCATTTTTTTCCTTCAATTTCATTTATTTTCTCTATATAAGTGATTCTCAAAATTCATTTCTAGCTTTTATATTCTCTCCTAAACTTCAAAGCCATACATGGAACTATTTTCTTCCATGGTATAGCTTATTGACTTATAGTTATTTAATTATATGCATGTGCACATTTATTTCATTTTCTTAAGTCTAATTTTTTTCAGATTTAATTACACACAGGTATTTATCAGATTTGGTTGATTTATAATTATGTAGTTATTTATATACTAAACCTTATATGGACTATGTCTTATTCATCTTAGTACATATAGAGATTATTACTATTATTTCCATATATTATATGCCCTAGTATTTATTGAATAAAGAAATACAGATTATAACACGGTATTTGTTAATTTATTGCAGGCAAGTATTTGTATTCTTTCAAGATAAGTACGTGAAGGGATTTGAAAGGACAGAAAAGAAAAACATCGCAAAATCTTATTGCAAAATCAATGAGTGATCAAAAATTGCCAAAGATTACTCGGGGTAAGGATCTCTAAATATTTTGACCTATCTTCGTTACGTGTAGCTCTGTTCTGATCCTCTTTCACCCTCTTTGACATTTCTGGTTCTTAAAATATATGTCTACATTAATAGCAAAATGTCTCCAGACTAAAAGTTACACTTTTGTAAATAACAACAGATGGAACAACTAAAGAATACAAATAAGTTATTCATAATAAATTAAGAACATTTAGGAGACTGGAAGACAACATAAGAAGGTAGATCTTATTTTGGTTATTGTGGGAGGTGACATTGATGGATTTTAGAAAAGGAAATTTCAAGAAACATTCCCAAAAGTATGAACCAGATATTTGTGAAGAATCTGAAAAAGCCTGACTAGCATGGAGAGATTGTGAAGAAACTAGACTGAGTAATAAGTGGAGAGGTCAGATATAGTAAAGAAAGAGCCAGTATGTTTTATAGACATGGTAGAGAAGACATGATTAAAACAATATTTGAGAAAAAATATACTGTAAAAATGTTTATAAGAAATTGAAAGAAAATGCTAGTAACTAATGAAGATGTTATAATAATCTACAGATGAAGTAGACCCAAACAAAAATAGAGGTAATGAAAATAGAAAGATTTTGAATATGAGACATTTTAAAGAAAACATTGGTAAATCACTTAACAGACTTGATATAGAGTGGTGCCAAAGAAATGGATGAGTCAAAGAGGACTCTGGGGGCAACTAGATGAGTGGTATTTTTAATAGCAAAAAGCAGAGTTAGAAAAGTAGCTTTTTTGGAGTTAGCTTAATTCAGTAAACTTTTATTGATTACCAGCTGTACCAAGGTACTCTGGTCGTCATTCTGGAAATCACTGAGTCCGAGTAATTGACATCTACCTGTAAGGAACTTCCTTTCCTGAGAAGAGGCTAAGGCAGATTTTCAAACTCACCAATATATAAAGGAGAGTTTTCAGATTTGGCAAAGTCTTCTATGTAGGAAATACCCAAAGGCATGATGGGAGTTTCACCAATTCCACGTATGATATTTCCTACTAGTACATATACCCACATTAATGATTTAACTTCTTTCACACAGTCTGTATTTAAAGAAAAAAAAGATATGGTATTAGTGATTTGGTAGTAAAATATCAGTAATACTTAATTCTACATTTTTGGTAAACATTTCACAGTTCTTATGTGACATGGCATCTTGTCAGTGATTTATACTACTATGTCAGTAATGTATCACTGGACCATCCCACTTGCATTTTCTGACAGGATACTTAGGTATGGTCAAATGTAAGTGGTATCCGGGAGCCAATTCCTACTGGGTTGGGATAGATGAAGAGTATACACATCTCTTTTCAATTTAGTATTTAATGGCAGCACATTGGTAGTTTGATGACAGTATTTATGCACAGAAATTGACAAACACTAAAAGCCAGAACTTTTTCCCTGCAGAGAGATAGTTTATCAGCAACTACTGAACCCAGTTAGCTGCTGTGAGAGCTACCCCACTTCTATACTAACTTAGGGAAGAGAAAAGAAACACAATTATCTCTCCCTAGAACTGATACTGTAAGATTTAAATAAGAATCTCACTGAAGTTTGAGTTCTCTATAGCTCTAATTACTTTATAGAAACTAAAAATATTTAACTGGGTAGTAATCACATTTTCTCTGTAGGACCTACTGTATACTGTAACCACCAAATAATTTTTAACAGAGAAACCCACCCCAATCCTTGGAGCAGCACTGCTTAGTAGAATAACAAAGAGTAGGCCAAAGAGAATGAAAGGGAGGAAGATAGGCAGTTGTCTGAAAACAGCCAATTCTGTTCTAAGCCAGTATAGCTATCAAGCCAGGAGGATACTCTGTAGAGTCATGTTTTCAGGAAAGTGAATGACAACTTATTTTTATCTCCTATAATCTGCCCAGGTACTCACAGATGTGAGGCTCCTGAGCACAGCTGGGCCTGGAAATATCTTGTGAGGTTTATCTCTCAGTCTTTCCCAGTCCAGAAAATCATAACGTCCATTTCTGGGTATTCATGTGGTTTTTTTTTTATGGTGAGTGCAGTGATTTGTGTCTAGAGATCACAGGCAAATTCTAGGCCTACTCCAGGACAAAATTTAACATGTCAGGTGATCAAAGAATTAATGTACGTTTCTGGAGATTCACTAGACTGGAAAGGTTTTGATTTAAATATTACAATGCATATTTAAAAAAAAAAATAGAAAATAAGACCTAGGTCAGTCTTTGGCAAAAGTCAGTTTAAGAAGAGAATATAGGCCACCATTGACGTCACTGGTTTTTTTGTTTGTTTGTTTCTTTCTTTCTGTCCCCAGGGAGTTGCTTTGGCTTAGAGTTTCTGAGACAGCTATTCTTACACTCCTTGAAGCTGTTTAGTTTCCTCTGATTCCATGCCAGCAGTGAAATTCCCAGCCTTGGGGACCAATGTAACCCCCACTGATATGAATCCAGCATAAAAATGTCCTCATCAGAGGAAGAGAAGTTCTGGTCTGAGGTCAATCAATGAGTTGCTTCCAGACTAAGCATCCAGTCTGAGGTCAATCAATGGGTTACTTCCAGACTAAGCATCACCAGAAGATTATATAGGAGGTCCCTTAACATATGAAGGAGTAGAAGCTGGCATGTTGGTGCCTGAGCCTGCAGAAAGCCAGAAGAAGCACCACTGTTGTGTCAGACTATAAATTAGTACCTCTGGTAAAGAGGAAGAAGTAGGGCAGAAAGACAAGTTCCTACTTCAGCAGAAAGAGAATAGAGTAAATCAAGGTTATAGCATACTTGCCTGCTCTCTCTGCTATAGATCAGTGCTATAACACACATCTTTTTGTTTTTATTTCCATTACTCATTTACAAATCATTAGCCTAAATCCATCTTTCTAAGATGTTTTCCTCTATGGAATTAACTCTAAGTTGTCCTTGGATGGATGTCTCTGACTTATTTTTAAATAACCATTGCAAAAATAAATAAATAAATAAATAAATAATAACCATTACAAAGAACAGATAAGACATTCTTATTAAGTATATTCAAATATAAGAGGAGTAACATTTAAATTATGAGCCATTTCTATTTGCCTCCATGATCTCCTCCAAAATCTCTGAAAAAAAATTTCTTTTGTTCATTTACCTTACTCACTTAACCAAACTTAGTAACATTCAAAGCCCCTCAGCAGAAAGTGTTCAGTTACAAATTCACTGAACAGAAAGCAATACAATGAAGTACACAACCTGATGGATCTTCTGTTGGTCTGAAAATCTGGGTTCCATTTTCCATACACAAGAAACTGTTTGAGGACAAATTGCCTAAAACTGAAACTGTAGATTCATATTCATACCTGTATGAACACAGGGAAAACATGGTGATGTTAGGGAGCCAAGGAAGACAATGTGAGCATTGTGCAGATTAACAACTCCTGCTTCACATAAGACACAACATCCAAATCCAGGAAAGATTTCATTTTGCCACCTAATCATCATAAATTAATATCACTGAAAAGAACTTGCCACTCACTGTCAATGTACAATCACTTGACAGCTAGCTTTCTTTTTTTTTTTGGAGAGAGATTGAGAGACAGAGAGCACGAGAGGGAAGAGGGTCAGAGGGAGAAGCAGACCCCCCGCTGAGCAGGGAACCCAATGTGGGACTTGATCCCTGGACTCCAGGATCATGACCTGAGCCGAAGGCAGTCGCTTAACCAACTGAGCCACCCAGGCGCCCTGACAGCTAGCTTTCAATTATCTGTAGGGGGATGATATACCTTTTAAATTATCTGGCATCAACCTTCAGTGGTTTTTAGGTGATCATTTCCTGGAAATAATTACTGTGGGATAAGGAACAAAAACCAAGAAAAATAATAGACTCAACAAAGTGTAATTAAAGGCTCTGGGGGGGAAAACAACACAACAAAAAAAGTCTCCCACTTTCTGAGAATCCAAACAATAATTCCTTCACGTGTTCATTAATGCCCTCAGAGAAACAAAACATGTACCCATCATAATGAGAAAACTTAGGAGAATCTCAAACACTGTGGCGGCACAATGTAATGTCTTTTTCTCTTCTCATGAGAACAAAAGTGTTAATAAACTCTGACCATTTATCTTAGGCAAATTACCACAAGATCCACATGCCCTTTCTCAGAAAGAAAATTACTTGCTGCAACAATGGAGGAAAATATGTCCAGCTCTCTTTGTTAAAACTTGCACTGGGTTGGTTTCTATATTTCTATTAGATAAGAGAAAGCCAAAGAAAACTTGCCTTTCTGAGTTTCAAATGAGCTAAAGAATGTTATGCTTGGATGTCACCAATAGTCCTAATTACTATGTTATAGAACATAATAAAAAGGGTTAAAATACCTTCCCCTTAGAATAACTGCCCAGTCATACCTATAGAATTTGGCTGTGAATCGTGGACAAAGGCTTCTGTCTCCACATCCATGATCCCATGAGACATGGAAGCTTCAGACAAAAAGAAGAAGAAGAAGAAGAAGAAGAAGAAAGAAGAAGAAGAAGAAGAAGAAGAAGAAGAAGAAGAAGAAGAAGAAGAAGAAGAAAGAAAGAAAAGAATAATACCTTTGGCAGAGTGTAGAAAGAAATGAAAATAATAGCTGAATATTACTTGACATTGTCTTGGATAGGATGGGATAGGGTAGGAAAGGAAATAAAAGAACAGTAGAAATTCTTTGCCTTGAAACCGCTGATCCCTTCAGAAATACCTGAAAGTTAAAATATCTTTTTCATTTAAATTACCTACTTAAAACCCAATAACTCATTCCATGTCCATTCATTCCCCAAATATCAGCAAAATGGTAGTAAATGGATTTTAAAATAGGAAAGGAAAGGCATAATGTCATATGGATAAAGAGAAGGGAAGATTTGACAAAAAGAGAGAGTTTAATAGGATTTTGAAAATGGAAAAGCAGTTGAGTGATCACTAGATTTGTAGATATGAGAAACACAGCCCTGAGTAAGTGCCTGTAGGAGAGCAACTAAACACATGCCACACAAACCTGGAAAACTTCAGGCAAGAAACAAGATACTTCTAAAATGAGAATATGCATAGTCCCAAAAGAAGATTGCTTTAAAGTGTGTATAAAGAGCAGTTAAGCCCTTATAGACATCCTCTGCCATTGCAACTGAATGTGGCCTTTGCTCTAGAGACTAAATAGACACCGAGGATAGGGAAGCCACACTAAAAACTGCAGATATTAGGTTAAAAAAAATCGACATACCGAAAAATGAGATTCCCACTCCCATGTGCTGATAGTTTATGGGCAGTTCTGAGCCACCTAAAAAATAACCAGTCCCTGTACAAATCACCCGACAAAGAAGTCCCCCGTTGATTAAGACTTATACACACACACAGAACTTCCAGTTAGCTTGTTGTTGTTATTCCTCTCTCTTAAATATGAATAGATAACCAAGAACCACCAGGTATATGGGGAAAGCCTGTAATAGTAAAGATAGAAACAAAACAAATAGAAACTGTACATTCAGAGAAAACAGAGAGAATGAAGAGAGATGAAGAAAATTTAGATGGAAAAAGACATTGCATTCTTGAAAGAAGAACAAAATGTTCCTTAAAAAGATACATTCAAAGAACAAAAGAGTCATTGGAAAATTCCCAAGAATAATGGTGAGGGAAAATTTCAAGGAAGGAGCCATGCACCAAGCCCAGGGAGTTTCCAGTTCAGATTGCAGACAGAGGATTGATGGTGACATAGAGGTATCTCTAAGACAAAAATGAAACCCTGTGATATGTATGAGCATTTTGAGATGTTGCCCTATCAGTGGAGAGTTTGGTGATTAGTGAGAGATAAAAAGAAAATGACTCAAATAAAAAGGGAACAATTATTAAATCCAAGGAAAATAAAGATGATATAAGAAAGGAATGACAGCATGGTTCAGCAGTGAAAGATACTTACATAGTCATACACATGGAAATAGTGAATATAATTTTATAGCAGAAAATCAATATATATTACATAACACGAAAGTATTAACAACTAAAAGGATAAACATTTACTTAGAACCATGGAGGCAAATAGCAGAAGAAAGAACTAAAAGAGTTGCAAGTAGCTACTCCTGGAAAGCAGTAATATGGACAATGTTGAAGGGACAGGGGATAAATTTTTTCAATATAATTTTAATTTTACAAGTTGGTGCACGTATTACTTTGGTAAAATTAAAATAAAAATCAACCTTCAGACTGGCCTGTCTCTTAATGACCTACATACAAGTAAACAGAACCTCATTGTAATTAGAAGTGTCTAAATAGTCCCCGGAAAAGAATAAGCCCACATTTTGCCAGGTCCTAAAATTTTTTCATCAGGCTCCACTCCATAAAATCTCAAATCTCTGTTTCATAGGTGGAAAAATGTGACTATGTAAGTGAAGCAAGGCAGCCCAGAGCACAACAGACTGGTGGAACGGAATCTGCATCTTTCAGCTCCCATTGCGGTGCTCTGTGCTTTTAGGAAGTATTGCTCCTAGAAAGGAAATTTCAAGTTTCATTCCATACAATCAAAAGTTGAGCTTAAAAAGTCATCAGAAACTGGAATACTTACAGGTCCATGAGGAAATGAGGTAGAGATTGTAAGAAACACCCTATGCCCATAACCACACATCCGACACCAATCAGTATAGGTCTATGCAATTTGGTTCCAAAATAACTCACAAATATAATCAACAAAAGATTTCCTAGGAAAAAAATTGAGATAAAAAAATGAATATTTCAATAAGAATGAACAATAGCTTAGCTTCATCCAATCATTTACTATCTGGCATTTATTGTATAAAAACTCTCTCAAATACCAGGACTGGTGCTAGGGATGCATGAAGCAATAAATGAATAAGACACAACTCGTGCCTTGAAGAAGGACTCTGTTTCACAATGTCGACAAATATGTAAACAGATCTCTGTGGAACACCAACATTTAAAGAGGGCAGAAGAAGAGAAGCCAGTGGGACTGGGCAATGGTTCTGAGAGATGTTAAAGACTCTGTGTGTGTGATTATGTAGCTTAGAAAAATGGGATGCCAAAGTAGGTGTTAGACTGTATGTCACCTCTGGCCTTTCCCTCCATGTCTGCTCCATGCTTGAAAAGAGAAGCCAAAGTCAAATTCAGATAGATTTATGTTTTAACTCATGATTTAAATGTAACTAAATATTGGTCAATATATCCAAGCCAGGGATCTATGTTTATTTTTACTTATCTCCTTAGAAGTAAAAAACAGTAGGTCTTCACTTCTCCAACTGGGTCTTAGAAGTAAGTCTTGCTTTGAGAAGTAAATTCAATGAAAAATTTATCCACATCTTAGGATGAAGTTTAAGGATAAAGAAACTAATTGGGGAGGCCCCATTCCAATGGACAAGACTTGATGAGAATGGCATAAAGGGTTGAAAGAACCAAACACATGAGGAAGTTCTCATATGATACATTTTAAATTCAGTGATCAATATTTTCCCTGATCTACTCTACATAAGGAAAATCTCTATGATGAGCTTGAGAATGATAAAAATTTAAAAAACTCTCCCTCAAGTTGTTAATAATTTTCCAAGTAGTAGTGTATATTTTGAAGACTTTTCTTTCCATATCTGTTTGCTCTAGTCTGCCTTGTTAAGAAGAGATGTCAGTGCCTATATTTTGTTTCATATGGACGGTGCCTCACCAAGTGCCACCACACTGGCCTCCCTAGGTTTCTAAAATTCCCATCATCAAAGCCAACCACGTTGAAAGTATTATCTCTAGAAAGCCACCGTTCAAAAGCCATATCCACTTTTGAAATGAGAAGAAAGGAAGAGCCTTCTCTCCATGTAAGGGTGAGCATTTCAAGCTGCCTTTCTCTGTTGGTAAAATAATCACCACTGAGAGGGAATAGAAATGGATAGATAATATTTTTATCAAAGGTATGGAGAACACTGTCTATAAAAATTACCGAGGAAAGGTAAGCAAACTAATGCATTTATTGGCATCTGTAAATTACCTCTCCTCTTCCCTTCAGCAATTATTTCAGATCTTCACCATTTTTCTCAAGCCACCTATCGCCACTCACATTCCATAGTTAATACTTTTTACTTTGTCAAAAAAATTGGGGCAGTCAGGTTTCCCACCTCAATGGCTTTTCCACCTTCCTTCAGTTTGAGAGGTTGTGGTGCCCATCTGACCATCCAAGGTCTAACACCCTACTCCATTTCTCCAGCAACTTAGTCCAAGAATTAAAATCTTTCTTATACATTTTAAGTGTCTCCCTCTCTGCTGCATTTTAATTACAGATATTTTCTAGTTTCTCTCCAAACCGTCACCTGTAGTCACAGATTCCACTTCTTCCCCTCTCATTCTTTCCCAAAGTCACTGCTCTCTTTCTGCCTTCTAGCTTCTCTATCTACTCTTCAGCTAAAAGTGCCCAGGCCAAAATCATCAATTATCATATCATAAAACCCAGGGGATAGTTTTCTATCCTTGTCTAACTGGATGTGTCTAATGCTTTTGAGACTGCTGACAAATTCTTCTTTTGGAAACTTCTACTCCCTTGGTATCTATCATAACATTCTCTCCTGCTTCCCCTCTTAATTCTCTGACTATTCCTTCTCTTAACACTTTTATGGGCTCCTTTCTTCCACCTATTCCTTAAGTATTGGTGCACCTCAGGGATCCACCCTTTGTCCATAGTACTTATCTCCCTGTACCCTCTCCCTAAATAGCCTCATCTGTTCTTTAGTTTTAAAAACCACCTGTTTACTCAATAATCAGTAGCTCCAGCCCAAACAGCTCCTCCAAGGCTTCTAGCTCATATAACTGCCATGAAGACATCATTACTCAAAGGCCTCACTGCTAATACCACAAATAATTTGCCTAAACAGAACTCATCATCATCCCGATAGCCACCACCACAGTCTTGTCCCCCTTTTCCTATTCTCTGTCTCAGCACCACTATCCACTCCACTGCCCAAGCTGTAAACCTGGGGTTTAGTGTAGATATTATATTTAATGTATTGGTAAGTGTAGATATTATTTTTAATGTATTGTAGTGTAATATAATGTATTGTAATTTAGTGTAGATATTATATTTAATGTATTGGTAAGCACAAATACTACTATATGACCAGTTGTTTTAATATTTTGATGATTTTATTCAAATAAAATGGGGTTTCTTTTTACTTTTATAATTTTTATTTTATGCAAGTTCCATAGCAAACACACAAGGCTAACCATAGTCGATTTCTCACTGCTGCCCATTTCTCCAGACTCATATCTTAATAATTCCCACATAAGCTTTGTGAGTCAATAATATTGGGCTGAATGTTGCTCCCCATACAAATTACTACACTACCTTGCCCTTATGCTTCTTCTATTGGAATTCCCTTCACACTCATCCCTCTTTCTTCACCTAGAAAACTTTTTACTCATCCTCCAACACCTTCCCTAAGTAAGGCTGTGTCTTGATTTATGTTCCCATAGGACTTTGCATCTATCTATGCCACCGAACTTACTGCATTCAATTAAAATTATTATTGTACATCGATGCCCTCCATTAGATTGTGAGCTGAGTCCAGGCAGGACTGTATAAAGAGTTATTTCTAACTCCTTCACCAGGATCCAGCCCACAAGTGGTACTGAGTTGGGTTGGGGGGATAGGTTAAACACTAAGAGACAAGATCAAGCATCACCTGTTTTAGCTTTGCCTCTCCTCAATCCCGATTTTTCTTCCAGATATTGATGAAGTATATTAAAGGTAACTTTCACCTTGGAGGAAGTAGAAGCTACTCTAAAACTGTGAAAGAATAGTATTCATATTTCTATGCAGCTTTGTTTACAGGAGAAATCTCTCTCTTCCTCATTCTTCCCGTGTCTTCACATCTTCCCAGTCCTCCACAAAAATCAGACAGTAAGAATAGATTTTATTCTTTCCTAGAGTCTGTTTCTGAAATTAATTCAGGGAGATGTGAAAACAGTTTCTTTTTCCCTCTGGACTTAGAAAGAAGAATTGTTAACCTCCCAGAAACAGCAGGAGAAGAAAAATATTCGTGTTTTCCTTTAGAAAACAGCTTTGTTTACCATGATATATATCTTCTACATAGGAAGATAGAGTTTTAAGAATTATCAAATGATAGATTAAATACAAAAATTCTAAATACTCTGCTACTCATTCTAGCTGACCAAAAAACTATTAGAATAAAAAGTCCAATGGTTGGATATGTGGCAATATTTAGGTGTTATTTGGGGGATAATATTTCAATGAATTGTTTCTAAGAATATTCCAAAGTTAGCAAGGCTATCCATTCATTTTGGAAAACATGTTATTCAGTCAGATTAGACTAGTCAGATTAGTCCTAAAATTGCAAATAAGGAGAATAAAATTCAGACTAGTTTTATAGATAAAATATAAAAAGAAGTAATGCAAAAATAATTCATTACCAATCTCAAAGCTCCCGTTAATAAATCCGACTAGAAATGTAGGGATGTTGAATTGTCTCTCTATTTGTGTGAGCATGGAATTCATGTAAGATCCAGATAGTGTTTTGGATACGAATGCACATGTTATTGCCAGAAGAAACATCTAGGGAGAAAAGAATATTAAAAAACACAGGAAAAATTTATTTTTGATCATATATTTTTGTATTTGTCACCTATTAACAAAATATCTTCTACCATAAGAATGGTTGTCTCCAACATAAGTAACCCTTGAATATGCAAGAAACTTTTAATGTGGTCTGTTCTTCTGGTCTTTCATGCCATGTTATCTCTTTGAAAACTCAAAGTAGGACTGATTAGTAATATTGAATTTTTTTTTAAGATTTTATTTATTTATTTAAGACAGAGAGAATGAGAGAGACAGAGAGCACATGAGAGGGGGGAGGGTCAGAGGGAGAAGCAGGCTCCCTGCCGAGCAGGGAGCCCGATGCGGGACTCGATCCCGGGACTCCAGGATCATGACCTGAGCTGAAGGCAGTCGCTTAACCAACTGAGCCACCCAGGCACCCCAGTAATATTGAATTTTGTCAGTAGTTGTAGCCTCATTATTTTATAGGCATATCTTGGACATACACAGAAACAGCCACTCTAAATAAGATATAGCTAATAGTTTGAATAGATCTTCAGCACTATAATGCTATCTGTAGTACAAAGAAGACATATACGATAATAAAAAAAGGAACGTGGCATTACACAAAGACATTATTTCTATAGCAAATTTGCTCAGGGTCTCTCCAAAGTAATAGGTAAATCATGCAACATTAGATTGCTGCTCACTCCCAGTTTATTTATTTAAAGCAATGTTATATGTTATATATACATATTTATATACATATTATATTAAAGTAATTATAAACCATTATAAAAATGTTTCTAAACTGACCAGGTATTTGCTTTAAGGAATGAATATGAATACAATAAATTTCCATGTATTGAATCACATTTCCTGTATACTGATAGAGTTTCAGAGGACAGTCAGGTTGATGTGATCCATAACAAAAATCAAGGACAACTTAACAAATAGAACTATTGTGATCACCAAAAGCTAGTATGATCTTACTAAAAATGTGGAAAAGTCAAAATTTTGATAGTTTTATTAAATTAGAAAGAAACAGATTTCAATAGAGGGCTTGGCAAATGAGTGTTATATACTGGGTAATAGTATGATTAGGTAGATTAAGCACTGCTTCAAGACCAACAAATTAGTGATGAATAGATTTAGGTTGTCCTGAATGGTGGTTTCCAACCCTATGCCATAGGACTTTTTCCTTGGTCCCACTTAAAGATGTTTCCTGATGACACTTCCATCCTTGGAGACAATTCAGTCTGCTCTCTAGCCAGCATACTCAAATCCCTAAAATCTTCACCCCTCCACCTTTCACATTCCCAATCTTGAACCAACCCCACAATTTATATTGCACCTGCACATTCCCTTCAAAATTATTCACAATCTTTTCTATTTCTCAGTCTTCAAACCAGTCAGGTGCTTTTCATGACTAGCAAATGATCTCCACAATGTCATCATCAAACTTACCTCCATCTCTGCCCCTCTAATTCCCCTCCTGCCTTTAAAGTGTCCCTTTTCCAGTACAATAAAATTCCTCCACCCATGCTTTTGAACCCATTCTACCCATTTGAGATCATGATTTATCAGTAAATACTCTATCCTCTATGTTCAACCTCATGCCCTTTACTGCCTCTCTCCCTACTAATTTATAAATATATTCAAGATATTTGTCTTTAAAAAATTTTATTTTTTCCCTAACCCCTGATAGTTGCTACTTCAGCTACCATCAGGCTGTTTGGAAGAACAGGTTTATTGCCTAGACCCTAACCTTCCATTCACCCTTTAGTTTCCTAATGTCTGGCCTCTCCTGAACTATTCCACAAAAGGTCAAAAGCAACTTCTTAGTTTCCAAGTTCAGTAGATACTTCTTAGTCCTCAACTAACCTGATGTCTCTGATTCATTTGACCCCGCTAATCTCTTTTCTTCCTGAAATTCCCTCCCCCCATGCATACATATATGTCCACCTGCCTGCTAGACTCTTTCTATTCAGTCTTCTCTTTGGTCAACCCCTTCAGGATTTGTCTTGTACCTTCTACTCTTTGTGCTATATGTGCTCTCCCTAAGAAATCTCACTTATTCCCATAGCTTTCCCTATCATCCATATGCTGAAATCTCTCAAATGAACACACAGTTTAGCTAAGACAATTGCCAGCATTACTTAGTTGCCTCTAGTCTTGTCCACACCTACACTCCCTCCCCTTGACACCACCACTAATTTGGAGTTTAGTAAATATCTGTCAAATGAATAAATAAGATGCATAACTAGCATGTGATTTCACTTCTTAAAATGTTTTAGTGATTTCCCACAAGCAAAAATCTCTATTTTTTTAGATGGCAAACGGTGTCTCATCTATATCTCAGTATCATATCCTGCTGCTTGTCCCTGGACATAATGTTCTACTTACAGTTTCTTAATTCACCATGCCATTTCACATCTCAGTGCCTTTTACAGGATGGCATTCCACTTGTAAAGTTTTTCTTCCCCTTATGCATCTGATCAATGCATACTCTATCTCTATTATCAACTCTATCATCGTTTCTAATGTGGAGCCTTCCTGTCTCTCTGCTCCCCAGGCAGCCTTGACTACTCACTCATTACCTACCTGCTGTGTACTGTCTCTATTATAGCTCTTATCACAATGCACTTTATATATAAGCTTGGATGCCTATAACCTCCTCCCTCACTATACTGTGAACAATTCAAATATAGGATCCATATATTATTTACCTTTGTATCTTTGGTGTCTAGTAAATGCCTAAAGAATAGTAGGCACTCAATACAAGTTTGCTGAATGAATGACAGATGAAATATTCAAAAACATCCTGAAGAAGTGGTCAGAGCTGAAAGTGGGCTGAATATAAGATGAAATATAATAGGATTAAATAAATACTCCTAAGCTGAGTTGGCTGTACCAATTCATTTGGAGAAATCTGAATAGAAATTTATGGAAAAAGAACTGGGAAATTTAAGTATAAAGCTCAATATGAGTCAAAACCATTACATGGCTGAGAAGATAATATGGCTATAACTCCAGTTGTTTAGTCTTTTATAGTAAATGTCATTTGTAGAAACTGACTCCACACTATAAATCTTTGCAGAGCACATGATTGAGAATATAAAATTTTCATATGGTTTTATAATTCAGGTTTTATATTTAAAAGTAAGGTCTATAAAATAACATATGAATCATATTTGGGAGAGTAATTTATTTTATTTTACACTTTAAGAAAGGAAACTAGATGAATCATGACCCCAATGTTCTTTCCTAAAACACCTAGATGGGTTGCCTAAACAGTTTGGTTCTAGTCACAAAGTGAAAGCAACCAGTGGCTATTATGACTCATGTCTGGTGCAAAATAACCTCTATGTTTATGAAGCTATCCTACTAGCATTTAACAGTAATGCCCAGAGTTTTAGGCAAACTTATTGAGGACAGTCCTCTGATGCTTTCTAAAGAATTTTGTTTACTATGCATATTTCTAAGTTCAGAGAAGCAAAAAAAAAAAATCTGACTATTAAGCAGTTGGTGCCCAGTTTTACCTGATAGACTTGTCCTCTTAATATTTTGCCATAACATGAACATCAGTATCTAATCTTGCCAAACTCCAAAGTAAGCAAATATTAAATTAAGAGCAATTATTTATAAATAACACCTGACTTGACTTTTATTTTTTTATTTAAATTCAATTATCCAACATCATTAGTTTCAGATGTAGTGTTCAATAATTCATCAGTTGTATGTAACACTCAGTGCTCATCCTATCATGTGCCCTCCTTAATGCTCATCACCCAGTTACCCCATCCCCCCACCCACCTCCCCTTCAGCAACCCTCAGTTTGTTTCCCAGAGTTAAGAGTCTCTCATGGTTTGTCTCTTCTCTGATTTCTTTCCGTTCAGTTTTCCCTCCCTTTTCTTATGATCCTCTGCACTATTTCTTACATTCCACACATGAGTGAAACCATATGATAATTGTCTTTCTCTGATTGACTTGACTTTTATACACAAATGCTATTAATTTTTTCTTCCAAGTTTTTATTTAAATTCCAGTTAGTTAACATATAATGCTATCAATAATAATAGCTAATATTTATTGAATGTTTACAATATTCTAGTAATTTTTCCAAGTTTGTAAAAAGGAAAAAAATCCTATGAAATAAGAGTATTGTTGTTAGCTTTTTCAAATAAGAAAGCAGAAGCACAAAGAGGTTAAGGAACTTGTCCAGGGTCACCTGGCAAGTATGCAGTTGAACCTAGGTATGAACACGGGGATCCTGAGCCTAAATCCTTATTTTTAACACTCAATTTTAGAAGAAGGACATGAGAATTGGGGGACAATTTAAGAGGAATTTTTTAAATAATTAATATGGCATTTTAGGCAAAAGTAGTTTTCTAGATCTAGATCATAATTCTCCACTTTTATGCACATGTGGAGATTTTCCCTACATGTGTGTGAAGAGAAAACAAACTTTGATAGGGAGAATATTGGTGGCAGTTTAAGTCTGGAAATCACTTGCGGGCACTAGCTGTAGAATCCAGACAAATTTCCAGATCCCTTGGTTTAAAACAAATTCAAATTTTCTTTGAAGGCAAATGGCTTTGAAGTTATATGAAAAGAATTTGCTCTGAAATAGGCAAGAATACCAGAAACAATTAACAAAATGGGCATTATTCTTACAGAGAATGATTGATATGTTGCCAAAGCTTGAAGTAAACATTTGTTTTACTGGCTTGTTGTGAAGTAATCATTGCATGCAGATAGACAAAGCCTTTCTGTCCATTGAACCATTTTCTAGGAGAGACCCCCATACTCCTCTGGACTAGAAACCCTACAAGGGTGAGCATTAAAATGGCCCTTTGATCCAACAAATTAAATCCTGGTGTAATATATTATGTGCCTGAAAACTTTAAGACCTTATCTTCCATTTAAGTTCCTCAAAACCATTTCTGATTAAATTGCCTGAATCAATAGCCCTATTCAACCCTCAGTTTAAAACAAACCTCAGCAAAGCAAGAAATTATCAGTATATCAGGTAATGTGACATTAACATTAAATCACTTCATGTGAGCAACTTTACAAGCTCTAGGTTAAAAAAAAAAGGTACATATACATATATCCACACACACACGAGTCCATACCTTCAGCTTGGAAAGACATCTTATTCTATGGGTTTCAATTCTTTTCTCAATTTCTGCCATCTTGTTCTTCTGAGTGTCCCAAGGTATTTAGGTTTTAAATCTTGATATTTCTTAGTTCTATCCTTTTAAAGGAGACAAAAATCTATTAACTGACAAAATCATAAATCGTCATTCTTTTGAAGAAAACACGGAATCTGAGTAACAATCAGATTCCATTGTATTACAAAAATACCTGAGAAGCTTTGATTCAGATCTAGAAGAAAATAATGACGTTAGAGAAGATTTAGTTGCTAATTTTCCATTGAGAAAGTTACATCAAATAATTTTAGTTACTCTTTAGTGAGATTAAAGATATTAGAATAATTTGCTAGGTCCCCATTGCAAAATAATGACCACGTGGTTAAAACAAAGCTTTTCATTTCTTTAGCCAAACAAATAGAACCAAAATGAGCTTTTTGGACTTACATGAAAATGCTGCTTTTAAGTACACAAAGACTTTGATTTGTGTTTGTGCTAAAAATCTGCTTCAGCAAGCCTACCAAGCCTCAAAAATCTCTATTTGGCCAGGCTCCCTCTTCAAGTTCTTTGCGTTCCAAGACTTCCCTGGAGTCTCAGGAAGGGAAACGTTTTCTGGGGCACTGCTGATTCACGGAAACCTGGGGAGATATGGAATTTTAATCATGGAAATAGCCTAAGTAAAAATAACAAATAATTCTGTGATCTGGAAAAGAATCCTACAGTTCCAAGTTATAATGTGAGGTTTAGAAGAAGACCAAACATGTAAGTGGAGATCTATATGCCTACATATAGATAATAAATATATAATAAATATAGATATATGTGTATTTACACACATATATATTACATAGGCACACATTTTTATATGTAAAACAAAAAGATGAATTAAACTGTTAAATTCTACTAACCTTTTGTCAAAGATTTTGTCTGCTTGTGTCTTGAAACTAGGGCCTTATTTTGCACCAAAACCAAAGTGTTTCACTCGGACAATATTTATTCTAGTAAATCTACTTCAAGTTGCCAGAATGATACCTTAGTAGTATCCCCAGCATTAATATATTAAAATCTTCTGAACAATATCCATTTAACAAGTGATCCTCAGTGCACTAATTTATAAAACCTAATTGCTTTGCCTCTATACATTTGCTGAATCCCACTTCCCTACACACATTAAGGCAACAGCCACTGAACAATTATGTATGAGCTTAGTTCTCTTTACTCATCTTCTCGCAGACATAACAAACATTTCTTGAAAGTCTGCTATGTACCAACCGTAGGGCTAAGCACAGGATTTTAGCTGTGAACAAGACAGTAAGCTGTCCTATAGACAATATAAACCAGTTAGAAAGGTGTAAGCCTCTGTGGAAAGTACTTGGACCCAGATCGCAAGGAACTTATGTTTTTATTGAAAAAGGTAAAACTTTTAAATAAAACACATTAGAATACAACTGAACAGCATATGACCAAATACAAATTGTTTGGTATGTAAGTGGTGAAAACTTGGTAGATCATACGTGAAAATTATTAGAGACAGTCTTGGCAAATCTGAATAGCATACAAATGAACTCATGCTGAAATCCCCCCCATAAAACGCCAAGTCACCTTAATTACAGAGCAAGTACATGGCACTAGTTTTGGAAAAACCAATAGATAGGATTAATTTTTCAAAAGAATGGGTAATGCTAGTCTTTGGTCCTCGTTTGTAATATATCTGCTTTTATCACAAACCTCTCAACTGTCCTCATTTCTTCCTTCTCACCATTTAGAATCCAGTCTTCCTCCTCTCTTTTTTTCCCTTCTATTCTCCTTGCCAATATCTGAGCCCAATTATGGTCACGCAATTAAACAATAAGAGAGGGAGAAAACCTATTCCTCTCCCATGTCTAAGTTAGCCTCACTCTTTTTTTTTTTTTTCTTATGTTAACCCCCATACATTACATCATTAGTTTTAGATGAAGTGTTCCATGATTCATTGTTTGTGCATAACACCCAGTACTCCATGCAGAATGTGCCCTCCTCAATACCCACCACCAGGCTAACCCATCCTCCCACCGCCCTCCCCTCTAGAACCCTCAGTTTGTTTTTCAGAGTCCATCGTCTCTCATGGTTCGTCTACCCCTCCGATTTCCCCCGCTTCATTCTTCCCCTCCCGCTACCTTCTTCTTCTTCTTTTTTTTTTCTTAACATATATTGCATTATTTGTTTCAGAGGTACAGATCTGAGATTCAACAGTCTTGCACAATTCACAGCGCTTACCAGAGCACATACCTTCCCCAGTGTCTATCACCCAGTCACCCCATCCCTCCCACCCCACCCCCCACTCCAGCAACCCTCAGTTTGTTTCCTGCAATTAAGAATTCCTCATATCAGTGAGATCATATGATACATGTCTTTCTCTGTTTGACTTATTTCACTCAACATAATACCCTCCAGTTCCATCCACGTCGTTGCAAATGGCAAGATCTCATTCCTTTTGATGGCTGCATAATATTCCATTGTATATATATACCACATCTTCTTTATCCATTCATCTGTCGATGGACATCTTGGCTCTTTCCACAGTTTGGCTATTGTGGACATTGCTGCTATAAACATCGGGGTGCACGTACCCTTTCGGATCCCTACTTTTGTATCTTTTTAGTGGCTAAAGTCATGACTATTCACAATGCCTATTTTTCCTATGCGGCAACCACAGGACACAGAATGTGGAGTTAGTGACACAGAAAATCCCCACAAACAGGAATTCTCTAGTTCCATCTCTGCATTGTGATACTATGTACCCATCTTGAGCAGTTTTTATCACCATGCCTCAAAGATTTGTTCAAAATGTGTTTATTGTCTTGAGAAAAGTTTTATAAACAGTTGTCTTGACTGGGGTAAGAGGTAGCTGTTTGAAGCTAAGCACCTGGAAGGAATTAAATGTGATTGAGTTAACACTAAGCGTTCCCTAAAACATTTTAGCTTTTCAGACACATTTTAAAAATTTTCAAGATTTTTTTAAAATTTATTTATTTGACAGACAGGGAGAGAGAGCGAGAGAGGAAACACAAGCAGGGGGAGTGGGAGAGGGAGAAGCAGGCTTCCCGCGGAGCAGGGAGCCGGATGTGGGGCTCGATCCCAGGACACTGGGATCATGACCTGAGCCGAAGGTAGACGCTTAACAACTGAGCCACCCAGGTGACCCCATTTTAAAAATTTTAATGGAGGAAAATAAATAAATGAACCAATGAAATCTATTTATTTAAAAAAATTCATTAAATCCAATAGTTAATGTCACAATCACTGTTGAGTACTTTGCCTCCAAATCAGGAAACGTACCCATTGTTTCTTCATATCCTCGTGGCCCTGCCAGTGCCAGTCATGTGAACAGTCCCCTTTTGTTAGCACAGTTTTGTTTATACGGTGACTTCTGCTCCTGGGACCACAGTGTCACCAACAAATCCCCATCAATCATTACTGTTAATGAAAACAACTTGCTCAAGTTTTATTAAGTGTAGAAGCATTTTCCTTCTTTAACTCCTTCTCAGCATTCAAATGGGGGCAGGTAATTCTTTAGTATGCATTCTTGCACAAATGTGGTTGAGTTTCTTCCATACCTACTCAACACAACCCTACTGGGGTTCTTTGTTTTTGTTTTGTTTTGTAGCTGTGGTGAAAGCACATTATAGAATTGTTAACTAAATGTATATCTGGGGTCATTGGACCTCTAGAGTTTTTCATCTTGCATGACTGAAACTCTATAACCATTGAATAGCAATGCTCCTGGTTTTTGGCACCCCTGGGTTGTCAGCCCTTAGTGATATGTCTCAATCACAGAAGAATACAATGTTTTACAAAACAAATAAATGGTCTTGTTTGTGCCTTTCCCCCAGTGTTAAGTATCTAGACATAGTTTTTTATTACTATAAATCACCAGGGGGAAATACATATGTTTAATTTTACATTTTTCTATACTATTGAATTAATAAAAATAAAGGCTTTCCTTTATCATGACAAAACTAGTCGTACATACATGAAGAAGACCTAAGAGAACATCCTTCCCCTGGGGAAAAAAAAAAGAGAGGGCTGCACCAGCAAAAATCTTATGAAAGTTGTTTATTTCCAGAATCTTCAAATCACTCCTAACTGCAAAAAAAGAACAGCCTCTTGGTGGTATCCAGCTGAAATAATTTCAGCCAATACCAAATCAAGTAAGTGCCAATAAGACCAAAAAAAAAAAAAAGAAGAAGAAGAAGAAGCAACAATAACTCTTTGTGTGATGCCTTCCAAATTATTTTTCTTCTATTAGTTCATTTTCATCTGAAATCAAAAAATAAGATAATGGATTCTGCAAATCAGCCTTACAAATATAGGCATTATTTTACTTCCTACATTCAGAGGAGGAACCAGGAATGCATAACTTCAGGCAAAAGTAGAGGAGAAACTTAACTGAGTCATAGAGTAATACATTGATTACACCATTCAAAGCAAAGAATGGAACACACAAAAACACAAGCACAAAAATCTCCATCAGCAATCCAGGAATAAAAATACCTACCCTGTTACTTTGGATAACATACTGTCTAACTCTGGATAACAGACCAAGATGTGGAAAAGTAAATCTGAAACCTGACTCCTAAATCTTTAGGAGAACTGATTGTAAATATCGTCAGTGTTTTATCCCATGCCAAGGCATTCTAGAGAATGATTAGATAATTATGAGAATAGCCATTGTTTTCCACACTTGCAATTTTTTTTAAAGATTTTTTTATTTAGAGAGAGAACAAAAGAGCGTGAGCAGGGGTGGAGGTGGAGGCAGAGGGAGAGAATCTCAAGTGGACTCCCTGCTGACCTGAGTTCAAGGCCTGGCCCCCAGCTTGATCTCACAATCCTAAGATCATGACCCTGAGATCATGTCCTAAACCGAAACCAAGAGTAGGAGGCTCAACCAGCTGAGCCACTTGGGCACCCCTTCCACACTTGCAGTTTAAACTCTTTCATTTCTTCAGATTATTATCCCAATTCTTTTCTTCCTTTTGCCTGTATAGACCTAATTTTGGATACAAAAACATGTTCCTTCATTAAAGTCTGGCATGTAGATACTGAGTTGCTCCTTTTCCTCATAGAGATAAGATTTTATGTTTATAAAGCTCCCCAAATAACTGAAAATCCAATAAAATGTTTCTGTTTTTCCCCAACCCATTGATTTATGTATTTGTTCATTCACTTTAATGGAGGCAGCTAGATATAGTAACAATGTCAGAACTTGAAGCCCAGTTAGCAAATTCTAGTTCAGTTGTGAGTTGTTTAAACTCTTGGAGCCTATTTTTCCTTACCTAAGATGTGGGATAGTTATGTGTTTATGCCTACCTAGCAAGATTGTTAATGAAGATTGAGTTATAAAATTTACATAATGCTCCTTGTGGGGTTGTTGGAATGAAATAGTTACTCCATAGATGGCAATGATTATTATTCATTCATTCCCCAAGTATTTATGAAGACTCTACTGCATTCCAAGCACAGTGCTTGTGCTAGGAATACAAAGATGAATAACATATGTGCCTGCTCATAAGCTATTGGGAGAGATAGATAATTAAATGATAATCATAGCTAGCTAGTGCCGTAATGCAGACAATTTGACCTAAGTACCGGGAAGAGGCAATTAATGAAAACTTTTTGTTTGTGTATTCATTTGGAATACCATTTAAGTACAGCACACTAGTTTAAGTACTTGGGCTTTGAAATGAAGCCCAGCTGGTTTGAAAGCTTGTTGTTAAACTAGCTGTGTGATTTTGTACAAGTCACCTTAATCTAGCCACACAATGAAGACAGTCTCTATCTTTCCTATCAGCCAAGGTCCAGACAGGAAAATAGAACTCATGACAGGTAGTTCAGTAAAAGAATTTAATATGGAAAACCACTTATAAAAGTATCAGAAGAGTTTAAAAGCCAAACTGGGCATATGGTGTGCAATCTAGAGATTTATACCAGTAAAAAGTTACTCCCACGCTTAAGGCTGAATCAAAAAGGGAAAAGGGCTGAGCTGTAGGACCAAGAGTCCTCAAGGATATACAGCCCCCACCAGAGGCACCACCTACAGAGGGTAGATATGCCTTGGCTTTTCTTCTCTTTACAACTCTGTCAAAAGTTCAGAAATAACAGAAGTCAAACCAATGAATCATTGAAGTAGTAATTAGTAAAAGTTTACTGTGCACACACCAAAAAAAGAAAGTTTGCAAAACCAGGAGCACTCAAACCAAAACATGGAATGAGGCTCGGGAGTATATTATTATAAAGCATCTTATATAGTAAGAAAACAGTTACTGTTTCATTTTTTCAGTAGTTGGTCAGAATATTAGAATTTTCTTAAGTGATAGTGAACTGGTCAGTGGTTACTTCATATCAACTTTACGGAAAGAGTTTAAGTTTTCCTTACAATTTCCAGAAGCATAAGCAAGAAATTACCCACATCCAGTTAGCCTTGCAAAAATAAGCTAAGCTTTATTTGTAACAAGTAAACTGGTTTTGTCTGCTCCAGGAATTTCCAAGACTGATCTTGTTTCTTTTGATTTTAACAACTCCAGTCTCACATCAATACCTGTCGTTGACAAACTAACAGGAAATCAGATGCAAGAGAGCCTGGGAAATTTAGTTTTCAGAAGTCAGTGTCAGGATACAGAGAGGATCAGAGAATAGGAGGCAGAAAAACAAATAACCAATTCAACCACAATCAGCTGCAGTAGAATTAAGATAAAATGTAATAAATGTATAACATGATGTGAGCACACAATCAGCATTCAGTGAAGGGTAGCTATTTGTATTACTGGATAATATACCTTCAATCATTAATGCTCTAAATTCTTAGTAATAGACGCAGGAGATTTAACTAGTCACATAATTGGCCAGCTCTCGACATTACATACACAAACATTGCAGTCTCTTTGTGATACCCAAGAAGACATGAGGCTTTGCACCAAATGAACCGATTTTCAATTGACTCCTACATTAATCAACTACTTTTACATCATGTAAGCACAGTTGTGGTCACCAAATCTTCACTTGGCAAGGCATATCCAGCTTGCTTATTCAAGTTATACGTGGGGAAAATGTCCAAAGAGATCTGAGATACACAGTCTGAGTTACCACTACGTGCTTTGTCAGACTGCTTCAACAAGCAAGCTTTTAAAGGGCATTAAAGTCAGAAGTAAAACCTTTCCAAGGCAGATAGAATTCCACTGGCATGACATGCCTGTCCTCTCCATAACCTCACTTATTCCGTGTGAGAGGGCTGTGATGATCCAAGGACTTACTTGGGGAAGCTTATGTATCTGGTGGCCAACTGTAAGGAGGCATGCTTGCCAACAGAAGTAAGCCACATCCCTCGTACCAGCTTGTTCAGTACTGGAAGTGATATTTTGGACTCTCTCTGTTACACTTCTCTGTCTTATTTTTCAACTGACTCACAATTAGGATGAGGGGGAAGCTGGTATTAATTGATATTTATTTATTGGACACTCTTAAAGACCCCGACATGCAAGAAAAGCATGGAAAAGCAGATTTTCCTAAAGGGCTATAACCAGATTGGAAAAACATAAGATCTATTATAATATAAACAATGTGGTACCACTTTTTTGTAAAACTATATATAATTAGAGACAAAAATATAAACATTATATACTACTTTCTGTATTGTAGGCACTATTCTAGAAGCTTTATAGATGTCAATCCGTTTGATTCTCATAAAACTCTATGACGTCAATGTTATCCCAACTTTAAAGATGTGGAATTAAAGCACAGAGAGGTCAAGTAAATGTGTGCAAGGACACACAGCTTATAAGTGTCAGAGACAGGATTGAGAACCATGTACTCTGGCTTTAGAGACTACTTTTCTTTTTAAAGATTTTATTCATTTATTTGAGAGAGAGAGAGTGGGAGAGAGAGAGAGCGAGAGAGAGAGAGAGTATGAGCAAGGGGGAGGGGTAGAGGGAGAAGTAGACTCCCCACTGAGCAGGGAGCCTGGTGCTGGATTAGATCCCAGGACTCTGGGATCATGACCTGAACTAAAGGCAGATGCTTAACTGACTGAGCCATTCAGACATCCTGACTTTAGAGGCTATTAACCATTACCCTAATCTGCCTTTCCACCATGGTGTGTGTGTGGGGTGTGTGTGTGTGTGTGTTCGTGTGTTCACTGTTGTATTTTTTAGATAAAATACTGAAAGACCAAAACCAGAATCTTAAAAGTGGTTAATTCTGGATGGGATTATGGTTGATTTTGTTTTGTTTTTCCTTTGGAAATTTCTGTGCTGTTTTCCACAAGAATGGTTATACCTTTTTTTATTAAAAAACAAAACAAAACAAAAAAAACCACAGAGGAAAAGAATGCCCATCATTGGAATTGATTTTTTTTTTAATGTCATATGAACACAGCACATTTCTAATCCATGATAATGTTCTATCCTTAACTACTATTTTTTTCTTGCTTCTCTAATTATTTTGCTTTCACTAAGAACTTTTGTGTGTCTCCTTTTTCTCTCCCTTCTCTTTGATTATTTGGGCTTTAATTTAGCTAAACAACCCAAGGCATCCATAATTTCCCTGACTGGAGCCACTGAAAGACCTGGAAGGCACCCGGGGTGGCTATGCAGAACTTCCTACTGGATGTGGTTACAGGCCATAAAGGTATCCATTCAAATCTCTACTTTGGGATTAGTAAATAAAACAATTGTTTAAGTTTCGAGCCCTAAATACGTATCAAGCAAGAGGTTTGGGACTAGCATTAATCATATGATTAGGCGCATGACTGGCCTCTCCTTCAGGTTACCCCTTAGCTGAATTTGTCAGCATGGAAGCTTGGATCATTAGACAATTTTAAACTATCTTTATTTGTGGTCATATGCTGTTTTATTTATACCTCTAATGGGCCACTGAATAAAGACAGGAAGCTTGAAGAGCACTGCTGTTAAAATATAACTTAATGAGGAGCATTAAAAAATAATGATGTTATAGATTTCCCTCAAGATTATCTTCATTGGATCAGTTTCATTCATCTAATCAAAATTTTTGCCTAGTACCTTATTTTATAGTCCTATTGTTCCTAAACCAATTTTTGAAGAGGAATAATAGATGAAGAATTGAATCTAGATG